CCCGCCGTCGCCAGGATGTGACGCTCTGCGTCGCTCTGGCAATGGGACTTCAAACAGCCCCGTTGCCAGAGTGACGCGGAGCGTCACATCCTGGGGATGGCGGGTGCAGCGTGTGCAGCCGTCCAGATGTGACGCGCCGCGTCGCTCTGGCAACGGGGCTGTTTGGAGTCCTGTTGCCAGAGCAACACGAAGCGTCACATCCTGGCGACGGTGGGTGCAGCGTGTGCAGCCGTCCCCGCGGAGAGGCTCCTGCCAGGAAATACAATTCCCCCGCTGGAATTTGGTAAGCCTACTGTTGACCCCCCCAAGCACCAAGTGCGACACACACTGGTTGATGGTTCTTACTCATAATCTTTCATGATTATTGGGAAGCAATGGGGCAGGCAGGGGTCTGCAGTTTAAAAGGTTAGGATTCCTGTGGAAAAAGTAACAAGTGCAGAGTGGTCTAGTAGTTACTGGTGTTCTCTCCTATCGGACTATTTTTTCCCCCCCTGTGAAGAAACTGTATCTCCATAACTCATTTTTTTCTCTGAGTTACTTTTGTATAAAGTTGATCCTGAACATCCATGGTTTACTTTCCTCCTCACTATAAAAATAAATCTTTCCTTTGTGTTCAACCTCTGTTCTCCACCTTGGTATCGAGGGCAGAAAAGTTTATAACTGGGTTTTACCAAAGCAGGGGAGAGTTTACCTCAGCAACACCATCGTGATTTACCTCAGGGATTGTTAGATTTAAATAGTACGAGGTGCTAGCAGGCCAGTATATAGATATTTCGCCTCTTTCACAGTGGTGCTTGGTGGTGTAATGGGGAAATATGGTATGGGCAGTAGACTCATTTAATCCCAGATTCTTGGTACCATAATGAGAACAGTGGCATGGGGCCCAGTGGGAGTTTTCCTGTAAAAATAAGTTCTAGTGCCTGCTCATGCTACCCCAAGTAACACTCAGCTTTCCTTGCCTCCTGGAACATGTTTGGTCCTTATTGGGCTATTGGTCTGCATGTCTTGCCTGTAGGTGGATTGTTCTGCTTTTGTGATTACTATGCCACCCCCATTTAATATTAAATACTAACTATAGTCAGTGCTAACCTGGTTCTTGCTTAACCATGGTTTCCCGAGATTTTCCCTATTCATGTGTGAATCCAGTTGGTAAACAGTAGCAACACATTAGATAGCACTAATAGGGAGGAAAAGCCCCAGGATAATGAGCTGACCAGTTGGTCTGAAGCAGTAGAACAAAATTTGAGTCCAGTGGCACCTTTAAGAGCCAGTTTGGTGCAGTGGTTAAGTGCGCGGACTCTAATCTGGGAGAACCGAGTTTGACTCAAACGTTCTCATGCCAGACTGTAAGGGATATGTAGCAAATAAACTGAATATGTACACACACAGGCTGGTGGAAGAAGCTTGAACCTTGGTGGCTGAATAATATATTACCTTAGCCAACAGCTGCAATAAGTTGAGTGCCAGGAAAAATTCTTTGACCACTCCCCTTCTAATTCCAAAGATCAACTTTGGCCAGGTTCTTCCCTTTTATTATGCATTTCAGCCACTTGCACTCTGCATTAGCCAAGATACCAGTAATGGCACTGAGTAGCTAAAATTTAACGTCCGGGCTCTTTCAGATGATAAAACTGTGGCTGAACAGTGAGCCTCTGAAGTTCTTGGACTGGGTAGGCTCCCACCTTCCTCCCCTCATGCATCGCACCAAGACTGGAGAATTCCTGGTTTTGAACTCCCTGCAGGTTATGAGATCAGAATAGGTGCTCTGTCAAACCATGAATAGTATCTTGTCTGCAAACTAGGATTCTAAACTAGGATTGAATCAGGGTTTAGAATCCTGTTTGTAACTATCGGCAGTTTGTTCAAATGCCCAATTCAAGCAAGTACGAGGACTTCTGAGCCTGAGTTCTCATACTACGGTATGTTCAGATTTCTTGGGACATCTGAATGCAGCCACAGAAATCCTCGGGATCTAGGTCTGGAAAAAAACCTCAGACTTCTGCCTATATCCCTCTAGCTTCTTCAGGTATTGTGGTTCCTTGAGTCTTGAAGAGATAAATTCTTTTGCAGTACAAAACCTGTAAAGATGGAAGTGTTCTTGGGGTGACGGTGACAAGAATTGCACTCCTCACCCACTGTCAAGCCCTTACGCAGGCCTGTGGATATACAGAAGGTATTTCAGCATTTTAAACTATTTCTAAAACCAGTTTAAGATTCCAGTGATGTATTCTGCACAGAAGAGTTTTATTTTAGGTATTGTTTTGTATGTGGAGTTGCTGTATTTTTGAAGATTATATTCTTGTTCTATTTAGTATTTGAACAAATACATCCTGTTTTTAAATTGTTATAATGCATAGGAAAGTAAGGGTGAGCAGTCTGTATTAACATATCTATGTCAGTAGTGACATATCTTGGGATAGTTCTCCCACTCATCTGTTGGTTACTTTTTTCAACACGAAAGTATATTTAAATTACTCATTTAAAGTAAGATTTTTCTTCAGGATGTAGTATGTGCTCAGTAACTAACCTTTTGATTTTTTATTTTTTTTTGCATAGCTGAAACCATTGTGAATGTATTAGATTTCAAGAAAGATGTAGGTTTGTGGCACGGGATTCTTACAGTAAGTCTGTGCTGTTAAGTAATTATTGTTTAAAAACCAATTTGTGCTTTCATTATGGCTGTCAGAAGTCAGAATGCTCTAGACAACAGTTCTGACCCTGCTTGGCTCCTAAAAAGTTGGATTTTAGGAAATGATGGAAACAATTAATGTCATGGACATTGATAGAAGGCATAGGCAACTAAGGCAATGGTTTGCTCTCATTGCCAGTTGCAGCCAAAGATCACCTTGCCCAGTTGTGGAGTTCACTGCCAGTGAAGACAGTCATGGCCACAAGCATGGATGGCTTTAAAAGAGGGTTAGATGGTATCATAGAGGATAGGTCTAGCCATAGTGAGGTCAGGGAACTTCCATATTCAGAGACAGTAAATCTCTGAAACAAGTACTAGGAGGCAACATAAAGGAAGGCCTTGGCATCTTTGCCCAGGGAAACTAGTTGGTGACTGTGAAACAGAATGCTGGATTAAATGTACCACTGGTCTGATCCAGTGGGACTCTTCTTATGTCCTTATGCCCAGCTCCCTGTTCCCACCAGTGGACATTCAGATTCCAAATAATTGCTTTTTTTGCAAGGTTGCCATGAACTTAGCTGCAGAATGAACCATTCATGTGGGTGGAGTATTAGAATCCCATAAGTTCAGGCCCATGATACTTGGAAGGGGGAATCCTCCCCCACATACTTTTTTGCCATTCCCACGCCCAGCGTGACTCCTGGCCCTGCACCTTTGCCACTGGTGGGCCCAGCACGACTCCCAGACTGAGCTGCTGCCTGCAGCATGCCCAGTGTGGCTACCAGGCTCCACAGCCACCATGGGCATTGCCCATCGCTGATCTCAGGTTGTGGTGCCACTGCCACCGGACCCAACATGGCTCACCAGTGCTGATTGTCAGAGGTAAGCGCATTCTCTGTGCTTGTGCAAAGAACGCTAGTTTACTTTTTTGGGGGGGGTTACTCCCATTTTTTTAATTTTCAGATTTTGCTGCAAACCTTGGGGCATCCCCCCAAGTTTGCTGGGAAATCTGTTTCGCGTCCATATGACCCCAGTCTGCGGATTTAGATATCCACAGATGTGGGCACAGGTCGCTAATAATGTATAGATGTTGGCTGTACAAAATAGAAAGTTTAGCACTCAGGAGTAGTATTTTACATACTGGACCATTTGGTCTTCAGAATGCCAAAAATAAACTTAAAAAGCTCAAAAATGTTACCAAAGAGTTTCCATTTCCTAGCAGTGAAAAACTAGATCTAGTACACCTTTTTAGGACAAAGGAGCAAAAAAAAATGGAGGATTGGCTGTAACTACAAAGTTATGAAGCATTACTACAGGGGCTGTGAGGAAAAGGTGTATCTGTCACTAAAGTAATACATGAACTCAAATAGTGCGCCAAAGTTCATGGAAGTGCTCCAGAAGTATCAGCAAAACACTGTAGGATTATGGCTGCGTTCACATACACTAAATAATCCACTTTCAGTGCACTTTCCAATTGGATTTTAATGTCTGAACTGGCAAAATCCAGCTGTAAAGTACATTGAAAGGGGAGTATTGGGGGGGGTGACTGCAACCTGTGATGGCAGAAGCACAGTGCTTGGGGTTTCTCAAACGCGTTATTCTGTTGCCATTTTGGTTTCATTTTCAGAGTCCGCATGTCTGTATTTTTAGCCACCGAGCCACTTTTTTCTGTACTGGCTAGTTTCCAGGCCTGTCGCGTAAGGGGATATTTCATCTTTAAATAGTACACCATTAGCTTATTTTGTACATTCTTCTTTGCATTTGCTATTTTAAGCCTCTCAGATGACCTTTTTAGGTTACAGGGTTTTTTTGCTTTTAATATCTAAAAATAGACACTATTATACCTTGTCTAAGAAGGATTAATTGTTTCCTTTGGGCTCCACCTTGAGTTAGCCTCTGGGTTTCCTAGCTGTTTAAGCCTCTGCCTTGTACTTCATCAAAAAAGAATCTTACTCGTGTTGTTCTGGTGACCACTGCTGACCGTTAAATTCCTGTTCAAAGTGATGAGCAATGATGTAAGCATAATGCGTGTCACTTGATTACATAACAGTTGACTCATATTATTTATCTAATTCGGTTGCCTGCCTTTTTCCATCCTGGAATTGAAGGTGGTGTACATAGAATTTTGAGGGCACCAGCCAGACTGAAGCTGCCTTAACTTCAGCAGTTGTTCCACATCATGTACCACCCAGCCGCATTCTAGGATTTGCACATGTATGTGTGAATAGAGAGCCCATTTGGAATAATTGTGTTTGATGAGATGAAATGAGAGCACACACTCTCTGCTCTCTGTAATGACTCATTCACATGTACAAGTTACCACCTGATACATATTCCTGACCAGGTGACTGTTGCATGTGCTGTGTAGACCTGAATTGCTGTCAGAACAATGCTACTTCTCAGGCATTCTGTGAAAGAGTAAAAAAATAAGATGTTCTTTTCAGGTGTCCTTTACCACCATCTATGGCTTGTGATGAATATCTGATTTGTTTGTTGTGGTTTTTAAATGCATATTTGGACTAGCAAAATAGTTGAAATATTGTCGAAGCCTGCTTTTCTTTTCATTTGATTTCAGAGTGTTATGAACATGATGCATGTTATAAGCATCCCATATTCTTTAATGAAGGTAAATCCGCTTTCTTGGATACAGAAGGTCTGCCAGTATAAAGGTAAGGGCTATAAAAGATGTGGGGGGGGGCCCCCTCTTTTTGTAGCAAGAACTCCTTTGCGTATTAGGCGACACACCCCTAATGTAGCCAATCCTTCAAGAGCTTACAGTAGCCCCTGTAAGAAGAGCTCTGTAAGCTCTTGGAGGATTGGCTACATTAGGGGTGTGTCGCCTAATATGCAAAGGAGTTCCTGCTACAACAAGAGCCTGGGGGAAGGGAGCATGGTTTTGTGCTGGGAATGTGCACGTGTGTATACACGCAACCCATCTTAGGCTTTCTTGAGGAAAGTGGGCTATAAATGCTGTAACGTGTAAATGGGGAGCATATTTTTACAAATACTGTGATGCTAATATCCAGAAGCCTGCTCCCCTGCAGTCTTTTGCTTTGTGGTCCATAAAACATGAAAGTCCATATTCAGGGTCCAGTTTGCCATTTGCCCATCTTTAATATGTGATAGAGATTCAGTACTAAATATATATTGGGAGTGGGGTGGGAGATCCCAGCACTTCCACACATACCCCTAATTATTATGCAACTCATAGCATGCTCAGATGTTTCCAAATTAATTTTAACTTTATTCACCCAAGTTTTAACAGTATCTTTCCCCCCCCCCTCCCTCCCCATTCTCTCTCCCTAGCAAAAGTTGCTTGTGTAAAATCTAGGGATATGCACTGGGCATTAGTAGCACATCGAGACCAACGGGACATCAACCTTTCGTCACTCCGTATGCTAATAGTTGCTGATGGCGCCAATCCATGTAAGTGATGGCTGTGGAGTGGGGTTACCAACCTCCAGGTGGTGGCTGGAGATCTCCCACTATTACAACTGATCTCCAGGTGATAGTTCACTTGGAGAAAATGACCGCTTTGGAAAGTGGACTCTATGGCATTATACCCCACTGACGTCCCTCCCCTCCCCAAACCCCACCCTCCTCGGACTCTACCTCCAGTGGGAGGAGGGCACAACCCAGCATGCTTTGGCATCTCTATGAGCTTCCATGGTGAAAGCCACAAAATGAGATAGAGTGACTGGACTGCTCTGTGGACGGCATCTGAAGATATATTTTCCATGTGGGGAGGGGGGGGAGACCATTCTGTCCCAAATGGAAAAAAGAAAAGTTTAATTATCATTTTCCAGAAACTCTTTGTTTGCGATTTTGTTTAACATGTTCCTTTTTAATAAATCCTGAAGCAAACTTGATATTCCATGTAATGCAGGTTGTAGTTAATCCAATTATATATGACATGACAAGCTGTTATGTAAAGTCTGAATCAGATTTATCCTTAAGCAGTAGGAAGGAGCAGGAGGGGCTGCTTTTTGGCAAAACACTTGAAATGCAAGGATGGCTTTTCCTTTTTCAGATTCAGTGACACAGATTGACATAGAATACACATGTAGGCCCTGTCATGTGTGACCCAAACGTAGGGGCTGGTGGTAGAAGTGAATTAGGCATTCCGATCTTTAAACACACAGCCAAGTTCCTTTTCTGGCTTTCATTTTCAGATTTATTTTTTAAACAGGCAAGTACCTAACTGTATACACACGTAACAGTCACACTTCATAGGGCAAACCTGTGTTTTGTACAACAGTATGCAGGCATAGAAAAAGTAATAAGCAGTGATTAGAAGCAAAACGGAAACAGTTGATATTTTGCTCTCAATAGTGCATGAAAATCCATGTGAATTATTTTCTCCAGTTTTCTTTTAAGATGCCCAGTATAGTTCTTCACTAGTCTTTTCTAATATGCTATGAATTGCTACAATAAATTTCTGGGTTTTGTGTAGGCTTCCCAAGTCCCCCCGGGGAGCGGGGAAACCCCTGCCCCAGAGGCCCGTTCCCCGCCGCTGGCGGATCGGGCCCCGGGGAGGACCCCACCCCGGCATGCGCGTCACCAGGAAGTGACGTTATGACGCCGGGCATGCTGGGGGCGGGGCCACTATCATCCGAGGGAAAACTATGGTTTTCCCTCAGATGCTCGTGGCCCCGCCCCCAGCGTGCTCGGTGTCATAATGTCACTTCCTGGTGTTGTGCGTGTGGCGCATGCGCGCTCCAGCCGCGGACTGGGAGTCCCCCGGTAAGTACTTTTTTCAACTTGGCAACCCTAGTTTTGTGGCTTTCAAATTAAATTATATTTTAAAAATCACTGTATAAACAATAATATTCTTGTGTCTTACGCTTTTAGGGTTTCCAGCCTCCAGGTGGGGTAAAACGTGGAAAAGCAACAAACAGACGGGAAACACGGCAAGGTTGAGTAAAACGTGGAAAATCACCATGTAACAACAAAAACAAAGCACACAGTTCTAATATACTACTATAACTTCATTACTTAATTAAATCATATACTTATCATAGACAATGAAGACCCTAGTGTAACCTGATTATTACAGTGCACTAACAACAATGGTATAGAGTATACAGATAAATATAACTATATTCAATCTTGAAGAAATGTCCAACGTTACTGAGACAAATATGCAGACAAAGTCCAATGTTGCGGATGTATTGCTTTAAAGAAGAGATGCGGCAAACATCATGCTGGCTGTCTTGCTGCCAAAAAGGATGCAGCAAACATCATGCAACACGCCTCCCAGGAACAAATTGTGTGTTTCGAGGAATTCTTCAGGCAAATTATTTCTCCTGAAACCAAAGCTCACAGTTGCTACAATGCACAAGTCGAGAAATTCTCTAGGTGGCCTCTCCGGTTACATGGTGATTTTCCACATTTTAGTCAACCTTGCCATGTTTCCCGTGTGTTTGTTGCTAAGCCTCCAGGTGGGGCCTGGAGATCTCCTGCTTTTACAACTGATCTCCAGCTGATAGAGATCAGCTCCCCTGGAGAAAATGGCTGCTTTGAAGGGTGGACTCTATGGCCCTGTACCATGCTGAGGCCCCTCCCCAAACCCCACCCTCTCCTGGATCCACCCCCAAAGTCTCCAGTTATTTTCCAACCCAGACCTGGCAACCCTATACGTTTTAGGCAAGAAAACGCTAAATCTATCAAGGTAGGAGGTATAAAAGCTGCTTTAGCCCTGCCCAGTGTATGTTGGTTTTTTGTTTGTTTTGAACAAGGCATATTACAGATTTTACCAGTGACCCACCCTACCCCCAACTGGCTACGACTTGTAGCAGAATTATTTCTTTTTCAGTGGCATCTAGATTCTTTGGAAACTTTTTAATTCATTTGGGAATTCTCTTAAGTTAGGAATAGTGCTTCATAACACTATTTATATCGTTGTCAGATTTCGTTTGTTCTAATTCTAGGGTCTATTTCGTCTTGTGATGCATTTCTCAATGTCTTCCAAAGCAAAGGCCTGAGGCAAGAGGTCATCTGTCCTTGTGCTAGTTCACCAGAGGCCCTCACCGTGGCTATAAGAAGGTACTGTATTTAAACTTTAAAATTAGCAGTGGAGGAGGAGGTCTCAATGCCGGAGGAATTCAGAAAGGCTTCCATGCTTTCTTTATTTAAAACATCTCTGTGCCACTGGCTGACCCAATTCCAAGGCGGCAAACATGAAAATATTTTAGACCTTAAAAAGCATTTAAAATGAGTTGATATTGAAGATTATGGAATGTGCTGAAATGGATAAGTTGACAAATATATTAAAAGGAAAAATGGAAGAAGAATTTATGGGACCCTAGAGGGTGTTTTATGACTGGTTAAAACTTACGTACTGAGAAACTAAGATTAAGTGAAGAATAATAAGAATGAGAGGTGAAATAGCTGTGAAATTGTAATGACAAGATACACATGCAGAATGTTAAATTGGAACTTTGAATATTTGTGTAATTTTATTTTCCTCCTTCCTTTCCCCTTCCTTACTTTCTTTATATTAAAAAAGCATTTCAAATGCATACACATGCATACATATATACAATATGCATGTATGTATTATATATAATATTTAAAACAAAAATCATATAAGCACATAAGGGGAGAACATAAACACACAAACCAGGAGGTGAGCTAATAAGGGTTAGTGAGGATTCCAAACCAAACAAAAAAGTACTCACCCCCTGGCAGAAGACAATGATAGAGGGAGACAGACAGATCTTCCCAGGAAGGGAGCTCCAATGTTTTGCTGCCACAACCAAGAAGGCCCTTATTCCACAGAATGTTATTCCACAGAATGTGCAGATCAGAGACGTTCAGGATGGCATTTATACAAAGGGATTAGAATTGCAATGTAATGGAACAGTCCGACAAAGGGATTAGAATTGCAATGTAATGGGAAGGCGCTCTCGTAAGGGAAGGCGCTCTCGTAAGGAAATCTTTACTTACTTTCTTTACACCCAACCCAAAGCAGCTACCATTGTTCTCCTCTCCTCCATTTTCTCCTCACAACAACCCTGTGAGGATGTAAGGCTGAGAGTGACTAGCCGAAGGTTACCCAGCGAGCTTCCACAGCAGAGTGGGGATCCAAACCCAGGTCTACCAGGTCCTAGTCGGACACTCTGATCACTCAACCGCACTGCCTCTCAACTATAGGAGTGCAGTCTATTGCAATATTTCTTTTATGTATCATCTTGTTTTTACTGCACTGTCTCCTACCTTTGCCACCTTCTTTCTGCATTATTTATGGTACATTATTCTTTAGCTATTCTGTCTGATTTGTTTTCCAATTCTGTAGTCCTACTCCTATTGTATTGTTTACTGGATGTCTCATGCGGTCTGATTGAATTGGTGGTTGTTGTTATTTTTTTACATGTTATAATCCGCCTTGAGTCTCAGTGAGAAAGGCTGGCTATAAATGAAGTATATAAGAGAATAAAAAGGCTGGAGGCTTAAAGCTGTACCAAAACTGTGAGAACTGAAGGAACAAGAGTTGCTGACAGGCCTTTAATAATAGTTAACTGGGATGTTATTTATCTCCCTGCCATGAAAAGCTTCAGCTGCCCCTTTCCATACATTAAGACTCTATTAAAGGTATAGAGTATTTTTCCCAGGCCCGTTGGCAACTCTAGAAGAAACTTTCAGTCTCCTATCTACGGGTAAGAGAACTTATTATTGCCTCTTCATTTTCTTTTTTAATTAATAGAAGATTTTGGTACCTTGCCTTACCACTTTTCATATAGGCATAATAAACCTTCATCAAATTTAATTTTCCCTATCTCATTTCTCTCTCTCTTTTGAAAGCTTAAATCTTCTTTTAAAGACCAAAAACCCGCTGAAAGGCTACCATCAAAGCTATATGCCAAAATGCTTGGATTAGTTTTCTTGTCTGAATGTTACCTCAACATCTGAGCATTTTGTAATTCACTCGCTTTCTAGAATTTTGAGGAAAGACTTGTTATTCTTTATGTCCTCCCTGTTGGCTGAGAAATTCCTTGAAGTGCTGTAGTTTACCTGAGGGACCTCAGATACCTGAGGGACCGCCTCTTCCCATATGTGCCCTGGAGAACCTTGCACTTGGCCGACCAACAACTGCTGGTTGTCCCTTGCCCAAGGGACATCCGCTTAGCCTCAACTAGGGCCAAGGCTTTCTCTGTCCTGGTCCCAGCCTGGTGAAACACGCTCCCACTTGAGATCAGGGCCCTGCGGGACCTTCCACCATTCTACAGGGACTGTAGCTGTTCTGCCAGACCTTTGGATGAGGCAGCGGGCGTCCAATCAAGTTGGCCTCCCTTGCGGAAGCTCCCCCTCTCTGTGCAGCCCATATTGAGAAGGTTTTAGAGGCCCAGCGGCTCCAGCTTCTGAGATTACTGCACTTTAACTATTGGATTATTGTGTTTTATTGGATTATTGTATATTGTTGTTGTGATCCGCCCTGAGCCTGCTTGCAGGGAGGGCGGAATAAAAGTCTAAATAAATAAATAAAATAGCGTAGTGCCCAAAGTGTGTCTGAAAGGTATGCTTCTAAGGTGTAATTCCCAAGGCACCTATTAGCTTGCTTGACATCAATTTCATGGGTAGGTCCAAACAAGTGTGATCTATTTGCTTAATTTATAGTTTACCTTTCTCACTGAGAATCAAAGCCAATGACACGATTAAAAAATGATGCAGTAAGAGCAGTGTAATATAAACAACCAACAATGTAATAAAACTGCATCATTTGCAGTGGGAGCTGGTGTGGTGTGTAGGGTTGCCAAATCTCCCTTACCTTCTCAGTGGGGGATCCCTGGCCATCTCCCGGTGCGCGCGCGCGCCGCATCTATGTCACCCAGATGTGACGTCACACGCTGGGGCAGGGCCACAGCCATTTGAGGGGAAAACATAGAGTTTTCCCCTCAAATGGCTGCGGCCCCGCCCCAGCGTGTGACGTCACATCCGGGTGACGTGCACACGGGGGTGGGGTTTCTCGAATACAGGGGGGGCTCGAAAGCAGGAGGAAATCTGCCCCCCGGGGGCATTTGGCAGCCCTAGTGGTGTGATGGTTAGTGAAGAAGAAGAAGAAGAAGAGATTGGATTTATACCCCGCCCCTCACTGGGAGTCTCAGAGTGGCTTACAAACTCCTTTCCCTTCCCCTCCCCACAACAGACACCCTGTGAGGTGGGTGGGGCTGAGAGAACTCTGACACAAACTGCTCTTTTTCAAGGACAGCTGTGCCAGAGCTTGTGACTGACCCAAGGTCACATCAGCAGGTGCAAGTGGAGGAGTGAGGAATCAAACCCGGTTCTCCCAGATTAGAGTCCGCACACTTAACCACTACACCAAACCGGCTCTACCCGCACACTTAACACACTACACCAAACCACTACACCAAACGTGATGGACGAGGACTGGGGAAAGCCAGGTTCTGCTCTGCATGTAGCTTCTGGGCCAGCCCCGTAGCCAGAAATTTTGGCTTGGTGGGGCATGGGGAAATTTTGTGGGGCAGCAGCGGAGGGGGAGGAGAGAGGGGGGAGGGGCGGCTGCACACCTTCCCTGAAGTCCAAATGGCCTGTTTTGGGCTTACCTTGGGCCAGTCTCCCTCTCTCTTCTAAATTACTTCACAGGATTGGGTATATGAATCTCCCCATGAGCTCCTTAGAGAATAAGAAAGCAACAGATAAAGGGTCTTGATCTTTTTTTCCTTTAAAGTGAGGGGGTGTTCCCTAAGTGTAGCAAACATAGTACTACATGCAGAAAAGCAGAACGTCAGAGAAGAAGGATGCTGATCACGACTGTGATTGAGCTTTCTTCCCGAGTAATGAGGATACTACTTCCTTACAGCTGCCTGTGTGTTGACCTCCCATTTCTAGCCAGTTCATTGCCAGTGTTTATAATGTGTTCCCACCACCACCAACACCACCCCTTGCCTGTGTCCTTTTAGGAGAAAGAAAGCATCTGTAATATCTTTGTTTAATTAAATATTTATGGTGTTTGTCATTACACTCCCATTTTTAACATGGTTGGCTAACACCCATCTAGTGTTTCCTGGCAGGGTATTTAGAGAGGAATCTTAAAGCAAGTTTACCCTTTGGGGATTCCTCCCGGGAAAGTGCCCTTAAGGTACTGCATACAGCTTGTTAAAACAGGTTGTGAAAAGCATACTAGCACCACCTGTTGATTGGGAATACATCCTGAGGCCTGTTGTTGGGATTGTCATCTGTAACCAGTATTAGGATCGTGTTGGGAAACCCAGCCCGCTAAAACATAAGCCTGGTGCATTTTCCCTCTCTCTGTTGCTCCTTAGCTTGAAGTTAAGGGTGAAGTGTTGTGTAGGTGTACTCAACATGACTGTTTTTGTTTGAAACAAAGCGGAAAATCAAACTCTTAATGGGCGGTATTCATGTTACCGTGGTAAAAAGCTCCAAAACAGCAATGAAGCTATCTCTATTCATTCAGTAGTGTGTGTGTGTGGGGGGGGGGGGGGTTGGGATTTTTTTATTATTATGAAGTGCTAATTTAATGGTCACCCTGGCCTGGATGACCCAGGCTAGCCTGACGTTGTCAGATCTCGGAAGCTAAGCTGGGTCAGCCCTGGTTAGTACTTGGATGGGAGACCATCAAGGGAGTCCAGGGTTGCTACGCAGAGGCAGACAGTGGCAAACCATTTCTGTTAGTCTCTTGCCCTGAAACCCCTGCAGGGTCAGCTGCAAATTGACAGCACCTTTACACACAAACTAAAGGTTGTGTCACCCTGGACAGAAAAGGAAAGGGCTGTTTAGAGAGTTCAAGGTCCGCCGTTACATGTACTCCATCTTTTCCCCCTGCCTTGGGACCCAAGGAAGACAGTTATAAATAAAACAGTAAAATTCGGCAAACTGGAAAAGAGTCCTGCCAGCCAGTTTACAAATGTCACAACTCAACAAGATTTGGCTGTCTTCCAGCGACAAACTAATTCAAAAATTATACACATTATTAATGGCAGAGGAAATGGTCAAAGGAACAATGGTTATATGGTCAAAGGATTTACAATACACATTAGAAGCAGAGCAATGGACAAAAATGTGGCAATCAATAAAACTTATGCGAGCAATTCCATATAAAGAGAATATCTATAAGATGTTCTATAGGTGGCACTGGACACCAGAGAAACTAGCAAAATGCTACACAAATGCAAATAGAAACTGCTGGAAGTGTAAAAAAAATCTTGGCACATTTATGCATATGTAGTGGAGGTGTGAGAAGATACAAAGATATTGGGGGGGGGAATTTTGTATGATAAATGAAATTACAGAAACACAAATACCATTTTTACCAGAGATTGCTTTATTAAACATTCTGCCAGTGGAATACAGTAAAGCAAATAAATGTATAATTATATATATATATTTACAGCAGCAAGAATAGTATTAGCTAAAGCATGGAAGGATGAGGAAGTGCCTTCGAAAAAAGAAGTAATAGATAAGATGTTGTCAGTAGCTGAAATGGATAGATTAAGTGTAATAGTACAAGGCAAAACCAAAGAAACATTTGAGAAAAGATGGAAAATGTTTTATGTATAGTTGGACAGTGTAAACAAATATGACTCACAAGAATAAGAAATGTAAACCGATTTTATTATGTATACTGAAAATTATAAATAAATATTAAAAAAACAACAAATGTCACAACTCCATTGAAACACTCCCAAACTCCCTTCCAAAGAGTTTGGCCAATAGAGAGCATTGAAAACTGAGCAAAACCCTCCCTGCATATTCCTGCTCTAGGTCTCTTGTCTCTTCATCATGCTAGAAAATAACACCAGAGTGTGGCAATATCAGGAATTGCTTTTTTATATATATAAAGAGCTGCCTGTTTATGTGAAACTTGAATCCTTTTAGGCCGACAGATGATAGCAACCAACCACCAGGCAGAGGAGTGCTGTCAATGCATGGTCTTACGTATGGAGTCATTAGAGTGGATTCTGAAGAAAAGCGTAAAAGTGAAGCTCTATTGCCTCACTGTAAATGTGACCTTAGGACATTTCTGATGATTCTCAGTCGGAGGTTGTTCTGCAGATCTCTGGGACAAAAAAGTAGCTTCAGTATGATACCAGTATAACAAGAATACAGGAGTGACTTGTGAGCAGTGTTCCCTCTAAGCTGTGGAGTCTTGTGAGCAAAAATTCTATGTCGTGAGCTACCGGCATTGAAGTTGTGACCGAGTGATCTGGCTACTGCATAAATCAGTTTGCTTTGGAGCCATCCTTTCTGGGCTGACAAAAAATGTGTGAGCCGGAGGCTAAAAAAATTGTGAGCTACCTCACACTAACTCAGGAGTTCCTGCTACAAGAAGAACCCTGCTTATATATACAATACCAGTATAACAAGAATACAGGAGTGACTTGTGAGTAAGCACAGAAATATACAGTCTTCATGGATCATGACTTCAGGAAATATTATAAGCCTTCCTTCCCACTTTAAGATAGGTTGATAGCTTAGTTAATTGGAGTTTTAGCCCAGTGTAGCTGTATGTTTTTCTTTTCGGTTTCTAGCTAGTTTTCATTGGATGCTTTGGGGATCAGTTTCCCTCAAAAGTTTTTTTTGTGTGTGGAGGGAGGTGCTGTTAAGTCAGAACCAACTTATGGGAACTCCGTAGGATTCTTGAGGCAAGAGATGTTTGGAGGTGGCTTGCCGTCGCCTCCCTCTGCATCACAACCTTGGTATTCCTTAGTGGTCTCCCATCCAAATACGGACCAGGGCTGACTCTGCTCATCTTCTGAGATCTGATGAGATCGGGCTAGCCTGTGCTATCCAGGTCAGGGCTTGCCGCGGAAGTAGGATAGCAAAAACAGTATGCCGCACGAGGTCAGGGCTTGCCGCGGAAGTAGGATACCAAAAACTGAAAATCACGGTGGTATGCCGCACAATGGGTTGGATCCAGCCAGCTTTCCCCACTTAATCTTGCCTAACCCAATTTCTCGTGGCTTTTGTCTGTGCAGGTCCAAAGGGTAGCTTATTTCCCAAAAGGATAGCTCTCACTTTTTTCACCAAAGCTAGTTGGATCCAATCCAGAAGTCTTACTATTCCATTGGAATATGGAATAGGAAAAAACGCAGGGTTAGGCTGGTGTCTGGTAACGGTCTGTTCTGCAATTCAGCCTTCTGTTCTTATGAGCCTGGGTTAATTGTATGCTTTCAAACGTCTTCTCTTACAGTCAACCCCATCTCCTTCAGCAGATCTTTTAGGTCTTGGCGCAGTCCCGGCCACAAACTCTGTACCTCCCCCAACATCCAGTGGTAGCTTGTTGGTGGACGTCTTCTCAGATTCTTCTGCCGTTCCCGCATCTCTCGCATCTAATTCCGAAGATAACTTTGCAAGGTACTTAAATCAATGCGTCATAGGAGTGGGAGGAGATTTGCGTTTTTTCTTTCCTGGCCCCAGCCAAGTACAGTTCCTACTTATCTAACCAAGACTCCAAAAGCTGATACGTAATTAGAGTAGTATTTGCAGGGGTCATTTCATAGAAAAAGAGGGGCAGGAGCTCATTAGCGTAACTTATTAGCATAATTTAGCTGCATATGCCACACACCCTGACATCATCGGAAGTGTGTCAGAAGGCAACACCCACCGCTCAGGCTCCACTGGACTGTTTTGGATTGCTAGCTATTGGGGGGGGGGGGACGTGCAGATCTGCCCTCACAGAGGAGGGAGAGCTTGTACCTGAATAAAACTTGGTCTTAAAGGTGCCATTGGACTGTTTTGGATTGCTAGCTATGGAGTGGGGATGCACAGATCTGCCCTCACAGAGGAGGGAGAGCTTGTACCTGAAGGCGGGCCGGGGGGGTGGCCTCTGCAGCTGACCTGGTTGTTTCTTGCTCTTCGTAGCCCGACTGAGGGCTGCTGGGAGCAGGGGGCGGGGTTTGTTGCATGTTCCCGCCCCCTGGCCTCCTTACCGCCGGAGCTCCGCTCCTGTGCGCTCCTGCAGAAAATGACCCCTGATTTGTGCGGGTACCCTTTCTGCAGACCCTGTGGTATGTAGGGATTGGAAATATAGTTTATGTCTTGGGTCATTTCCTTTATTAGTAGTCTTGCTGCCTCATAAATTTGGCAGCATATAGCAGTAAGGAATCCCTCGTTATAGAGCACATACTTGAGCAAAATACTTGGTACATGTGGATATTGCTTATGTCTTGGCTATATAAAAATGCAGGAAATCAGGTTCTGTACATCGAAGGGTGGAATTTCTTTCCCTGACAAATTGGGATAACAACATTTTCACTTACAAGACTAACTTTTCCTGAATTTAGCATCCATAAACATCCCAAGCATTGAATATTGTTGGTTTGAGATTTGAGTTGCCATGTTTTAGTATCTTAATTTCATACGTTGTTAGGGTTGCCAAACCCCCTGGTTTGCCAGGGGTCCCCCGTTTTTTGGGGGGGTTCTACCCGCCGCCGCCCAGGTGGCCGGCGGGGGAAGCCCCACCCCCAACACCCACAGCCACCCATCTCTCTCCCTTTAAGGGTGTGCAACCCGTGTTTCATCCCAACCGCGAACTACGCAAGCTTGCAGTGAAAAGCCAGCTTCGTTCCTAAAAGGGAAACACAGCTTCTCTTAAAGGGGAAACGCCGGCTGCCGGCTACTTTAAGTGCAGGGAACTGCTGTTTCTGGAGATCCGGCGCACGGCTGGGTGGGTGGGCGGCAGACGTCCCCAACGTGATGTCATCACGTTGGGGATGCCCCACCCCTTCCAGGAACGCCCCCAAAGTCCCCCGCTGGGGGTGGAAAATTGACTTGGCAACCCTATACATTGTATATCTTTTGACCTTTGTGTCAGAATGTGTTCGTTCGGAAACTTGTATTTGGACCACTTTTATCATTGGGGGAGAGTGCCAGATACATGAAACTGTTCTGGATAAGTTGGATTTGCTACCCTGCCTTGATCAAACAGAAGGTTTCTTAAATCACAGTTCCAAAATACAGTTTCTATTTAATTTATGACCTAGTTGCAGCCCAGTGTCATTTTTTAAATAGCTAACAACATCACTCTCCGTAGTGTTTGCTCGGGAACTGCTAGCTTAATGAAACATCGATGGAAATCACTGAAATATCTGAGGTTGACATGGGTTTGAATACAACTGTTGTGGGTTGCAGGCATCACACACCTTTCCCATGTTCCTCTTCGGACTCCAGGAAAATTTATTCCCAGAGTCCTCAACCAGTGTGGCTTGAGTGAGGAAAGCAAAGAGGGCAAAGTCCCCCTACTCTGGCAAGGCCATTTTGCCCTCTTTTGTCAACTGACAGAAGAAGAGTTGATTCCTTCCTCTTCCCCCTTCTCAGCGTAGGCCCCCCATGTTTTGCTGTTCGTCCCCGTGGGTGCCCCAGTCTTTAGCATTGCCTTTTTAGGCTCTCAAGCAGCTTCTAGTGGTATCGAATATTGGGTTCCTCAAACTGTCACCTGAGCAATTTGAGGGAGGGGGAGTACTTAAAGCAGGGGTCCTTTCGTAGAAAAAGAGGTGCAGGAGCTCATTAGCATAACTTATTTGCATATGCCACACACCCCGACATCACCGGAAGTGTGTCAGAAGGCAACACCCACCACTCAGGCTCCACTGGACTGTTTTGGATTGCTAGTTATGGGGAGGGGGGAACATGCAGATCTGTCCTCACAGAGGAGGGAGAGCTTGTACCTGAACAAAACTTGGTCTTAAAGGTGCCATTGGACTGTTTTGGATGGCTAGCTATGGGGGGGAGGGGAACGCACAGATCTGTCCTCACAGAGGAGGGAGAACTTGTACCTGAAGGCGGGTCGTGGGGGGGGGGCTCTGCAACTTACCTGGCTGCTTCTTGCTCCTCGTGGCCCAACTGAGGGCTGCTGGGAGCAGGGGGCAGGGCTTGTTGCATGTGCCCGCCCCCTGGGCTCCTTACTGCCGGAGCTCCGCCTCCTGTGCGCTCCTGCAGGAAATGACCCCTGACTTAAAGTATAATTTCGCATATACTGGCTTTTTTTAGGTTAAGCCCATAAAATGCTGTACCCGAAAGAGAGAGGACTCCCCACCCCCTTAAGTTTCCTACTAACAATTACCTCCATCTTTCTTGCTGCCTCCTTTCTTTCTGCTGTCTCACTTAGTCCTGACCTGGCTTCAACTGAGCAGGTTGTTTCTGAGGAACCAGCTGATGCTGTGCATGATGCTGATGAACTTTTCCACAAGTAAGCAATACGAAAATCTTGCAGGACTGGGCTGCTGGTATAGACTTTAACTTTAACAACCTTAAATTAAAAAGCCAATTTAATAATGGGTCAGAAATCACTTCTTGGAGATGAGACGTCTTCGTCTAGCTTTCTAGTCATAATTGAGAACGGCAAACTGTTTAATTGCAGGTTGTTGCAGGTTGAATTACGATTATGAAATTGGTTGCCCGCATATGGAAGTCCCGATCAGGCTGAATGGCATTTGAAGGCTGCAGGGAAGGCATTGGAAGAAATAAGGAGTCATTGAAACTTACTTATTTTGCCAGAGAACCACTGTCTGCCATTGACCAGTTTTCTCAGCAATTACAGAATGGATATTTTTCAGCTTCTCAGTGTTACCTGTTCCCTTAGCTGATAAATATATAGATGTTCATCACTTGGTTGGTGGCATACGTGAGTGGACAGCCACAGATCACATACCACCGAATCTTCATATCACTTTTGATAACAATGGTTTTCAACAGGAAAGGTTTGGTGCAGTGGTTAAGTGCACGGACTCTAATCTGGGAGAACTGGGTTTGATTCCCCACTCCTCCACTTGCACCTGCTGGATGACCTTGGGCAAGCCATAGTTCTGGCACAGCTGTTCTTGAAAAAAAGAGCATTTTCTGTCAGAGCTCTCTCAGCCCCACCCACCTCACTGGGTGTCTGTTGTGGGGAGGAGAAGGGAAAGGCATTTGTAAGCTGCTCTGAGACTCCCTTGGGTAGTGAAGGGCGGGGTATAAATCCAATCTCCTCTTCTTCTTCATGCAGTCAGCTATGAGTTGTCAGCTGCTAAGAAACTGAGCAATAAGCTCGTGTGAATTGACTCTGTAAAAGAAGCTTAATCTTTTTGTCATATTCCAAGTTGGTAACACGGCCTTGCATAGCCATTTTAACTGGGGCTAGTGGTCTTCGTCTTCTTGGGTTTGCATGATGCTTCAGGAGCACTTGGCACTTTTGATGGGAGTTCGATATAATCCAGAACTTTCTAGCCTTTATAACATGCTGGAGTATGGGTGGGCGATACCAAGAATGTTTGCAGGCATTTATCAGAAAAGTGATAAATTATTTTTCAGCCTCTTTTAGATGGCAGAATCAGCCTTCACAGTCCTGTAAAGTCAGCTAAAGTAGGTGCTTGCCCACGCTAATAAAATGAGTTCCCAGATCGGTGCCCACTGAACCCTACTAGTTCTCTCACGTTAGCATTACTTCTATTTGAAATCCCGAAATATTCTTATAAATATTATGGCTTGGATAATCATAGGTGGAAAATGGATCTGCAGCTATTTCTAATGTGCTGCAGTCTGTCTTTGATGAAACTAAAAAGATAATTCATATCTTTCAAATGTGCTGAAGAAAGTTAACCCCAGTTAAAGGTGAATAGTCTGGCAAACGTCATTCTAACCAGATTTGGTAGCAGGTTAGTACTTAGAATGACAGTAGATGGATAAAGGTCTGACAAATAAAAAAGTTCCTTATGATCATCCCGAACAGTTTGTGATGCATAAAAATGTTAGGGGATTTTTTTATTTTGTCTTGCGTACTCAGTAAGATTATTTGTAATCCGGGGCCATTTTGAAATACTGACGATGCCGGTCTTCAAAAGCAAGTGTGTCAGATGTGTTCTGCAGTCTTCTGACTTTTCCCCCCTTTTGCTCCACACAAGGATGACAATTGTGAATGGTTGTGGAGTAAAGCCCCTTGCTGCAAAAACTGTCTGGCCTTCCGCTTAACTTAATTATGATTTATTCGGCAACTCATTTATTTATTTATATATTTATTTTATTTGATTTCTATCCTGCCTTGCCTGACAAGCAGGCTCAAGGCAGCGTACTTCTTAATACTTTCTTAATCCTTCTAATGCTCCTGCCTTAGTATTAAGCCTAGATGTAGCCTTTCCCCTTCAGTTGCACCAGGCATGACTGCCAAATAGGTTGGTAGTTCTATGTAACAAGATGCCTACAGTTTGCCTGTCCTTCCTTCCCCAGGTTCGTTTGCAAAAATAATGGAGTCTTGTTTGAGAATCAGTTGCTCCAGATTGGTCTGAAATCCGAATTTCGACAGAACTTGGGTAAGAACAGTACAGACCACGATAAACAGTCTCGATGGGTTTTTATAGCATTGCAGTTTTCTTTATTTTTTTAAAGAAGTTGTGTTCCTTGTATCAAAAAAGAGAGCTTGTTCTATCTCTACGGCTCTCCGCAGATCTTCTGAAGGCCCTAGGAAAACGTCTGGCTGTTCAGACTGGCTAGAAAGTCCCAGCAGTCAGTGACTGGGCTGCGTAGTTCTTTCTCTCTCTCCCTTTGTGCTATCTTCAAGCCATACAAGTCATGTATGGCTGTGAGAGTTGAACTATAAGGAAGGCCGAGCGCCGAAGAATAGATTCTTTTGAACTCTGGTGCTGGAGAAGACTCTTGAGAGTCCCTTGGACTGCAAGGAGATCAAATCAGTCGATCCTAAAAGAAACCAACCCTGACTGTTCCCTGGAAGGCCAGATAATGAAACTGAAGCTCAAATACTTTGGCCACCCAATGAGAAGGGAGCCCTCCCTGGAGAAGACCCTGATGCTGGGAAAGATTGAAGGTCAAAGAAGACAGGGACGGCAAAGGATGAGATGGTTGGACAGTGTCATAGATGAAACGAACATGAAGTTGAGCAAACTCCGAAGCAGGAGGAAAGACAGGAGGGCCTGGCGTGATCTGGTCCATGGGGTCGCAAGGAGTCGGACTCGACTGTGTGACTGAACAACAACAACAACAAGCCTCAGGGAGTTCAGTTATCTTCCACTTACCAGGCGGGCTTATATAGTGGGTTGTAGGGGTTTTTTTTGTAAACGAACCACAGGCTTTATAAGGCAGGCATCTGTTGATGGGGATGCATGTTGGGTGCTTTCCCTGACAAATGAGAGAGAAACAAGGTTCGTCTCCCAGCTGGATACTCTCGCCTTTCAGTGTTCTCTGCACACGTTATCTTTGTTTGACACTTGCACACTTAGTCGAATAAGGTGGAGCGAGGCTCCTGGTAGCTATTTGCAATGGTAGGAACTGCCTTTCATTGAGGAATTTCGGTGGTGTATCTATGGGGCTTTCAGGTTTGGATTCTGTGAAAGCCTCGTTCATACAAGTTGTGCAGTTCAAATGTGGTTGTTGCTCTCTCATTCAGCCTGTCTTATTACAGTTTTTGTTTTGCAATTTTAATGCTCTTATGGTAAGCCCCCTTAAAGGCCAAATTACTTAAATGCAGCCTGGCTTCTGGGTTTTCTAACGTACTGAGCAATGCCGGATGTTCGATCCTGTGTATCTCTACCCAGGTCGCCCTCTGCTAGGGTCAGCTGTCCTCTGATTTCTTCTGAAGGAAAAGCCTGTGCTTCTTCAGAATATAATCAAGTTAAAAGGTAAAGGTAAAGGTTCCCTTGCTCGAAAGCCAGTCGAGTCCGACTCTAGGGTTGCGGTGCTCATCTCCGTTTCCAAGTCGAAGAGCCAGCGCTGTCCGAAGACATTTCCGTGATCATGTGGCCGGCATGACTAAACACCGAGGCGCACAAAACGCTGTTACCTTCCCACCGAAGTGGTACCTATTTATCTACTTGCAATTTCTTGCTTTCGAACTGCTAGGTTGGCAGGAGCTGGAACTAGAGACGGGAGCTCACTCCGTCATACGGCACACTCGGGTCTCGAACTGCTGAACTACCGACCTTCCACAGCCTGCAGTTCAGCGTCTTAACCACTTGAGCCACCGCAGCTCCAAATGAAGTTACAGAACCAGAAATTGCATTATAGTTTTGTGTCTGTCCCCCCCCACCCCCATTACTCAGCTCCATACCTACCTGCGGATCTTCCTAAAAGGAGTCTGAACACAGTAAAGTACAGATGCCATCTTACAGTTAATTCTGTGAATGGGCACCGTGGGGATAACTCAGATGTCGTGTATTACTTAAACCACATGAAGGAAGTAATGTGTTTTTCTTTTTCAGGTCGGATGTTCATATTTTATGGCAACAAGACCTCAACGCAGTTTTTAAACTTTACCCCGACACTAATCTGTTCAGATGGTCTTCAGTCAAATATCCTTTTGTTACCCAACACTCTGACTATGAGAAAGATTATTAATTTTGCATATAGGAGTAAGAATGCATGCTGTATGGGCCCCATGGCAGCCAGGGAAATCCAGAGATGGTGCTTACATTTACGCTGAACATCGTATCT